CTGGCGGGTTAAATGTGTGAGGCCATCAGGGGCCTCTTTCTCCCTCTCTCTCTGTGATCTCCCAAACTTAAGGCAAAGGAAACACCCAAGTTTTGTAGATGCTTGTGGCTGAAAGAAATTAAAAAGCTCAGAGAGTCCACAAAGGCCTATAAAGTTTTATTAATTCATTATGCATTTAGCATAGAAATTGGGATGTCAGTCCCTGAGCTATAAAAGGGCATGTCAGTAGGTTTTGTATAAAGGCACAAGAGGAAAGGTGAAAGAGAGGAGAGACAGAGACAAGAGAGACAGAGACAGACGTGAATCAGAGGAGCAGAGAGAAAACAAGAGAGAGAGAAGAAGAGATCCCCAGTCCTGGTTTCAGCATTGATCCAGCCAATGGGATGTCCAGGGTGCTGGGGCACAAATGTGCCTGGGCTTGGTGGGAGGACCTCTTCACCGATCACTTTTTCCTGCCCTGGCGATAAGTGTCTCACTTTCTGTGCAAATGACTTATCATGTGCTGTTTGTTCTGCTGAACCTTTCTCTAAATGGCTCGGAGGCTTTGGGGGTCTTTGGTGGTCTTGATCCCCCCACAGTCCATGCCCACTTCTCATTCCTGCACTTGGGCCATGTCGGGCTTATGCCCAGGAGCCAGAGCAAGGATGTTTGTCCTGGAAAAGTTCTGCCTTTATCTGCATGGCCCCTTCTGCAGACACAGCCTGTTCTTCCTCAAAATGTGTTATTGCCAAGAAGTCTTGGCTGTTCTTACCAATACTTGGTTGGTCCCACAGCCATCCAGTTTTTGATGTTTGGGACATGCAAACCAGGTCCTGATCTTCTGGGCTTCTACACCCTCCTCAGCAAGGGCCTCAAAAGGCAAAGGCCACAGGTGGAAGCAAAGAAACAACAAATGAGATCAATCCTCTATTGCTGATTCCCATCAGCAGACAATGTCCAGCCACCTCCTGGCAGGAAGGGATAAAGAACATGTACTTTGTGTTTTGTATGAGAAATGTCTTGGTAGAAAACATCCACAGCCCTCCCTGCCAGCCCTATGCCCTTCCTTTCCCTCAGTTTATTGCTGACCATGACATTGCATGGAATGGGAGATCCCTTGGGTCAGTCCAGCCCAGCTGTCCCCTCCCTGTGCCCTCAGGAACACTTGCCCATCCCCACCCATTGCCTGGGGGAATTGCAGACATGCCCTGGGCATGGCAGGGGCAGGGCAGGGCTGGCAATGGCAGGGCAGGGCCCGGGGGGCAGCGAGATGGGAGTGTGCAGCCTGCAGGGACACAGCAGCAGCTGTGGGACAGCGCAGGACAAGCTGTGCTGGACATGGCCAAGGGCCCTGGCAAGGCTGGCAGTGGCCAGGAGAAGCCAGGCCTTGGTGCCCTGGGGCACAGCAGCGTCTTGCCACCAAGGGCTGTGAGGAGGAGACACCTTGTCCTGAGGCACTGGGGCCTCCTGGCACAGCCCCAGCCAGGCTGGGCACTGTCATCCCTTGTCCTGCCCTCAGCATCCCTCCCTATGCCAGTGCTCCCGGCAGAGCCCTGAGCAGGCGGGGAGGGACAGGATCTGCCTTCCCTGGGGCTGGGGCTCAGGCCTTGGCCTTTCTGCTGCCTCCAGCCAGCCCAGGCTCTGCTCAGCAGCTGAGCTGCCTACACAGAGCCTCTGCCTCCCTGCACTCCTGGCCTCAGGGAGCTGCTGGGAAGAGGCCCTGGGGAGCCTTGGTCAGGAATGGCCCTGGGCCCTCCTTCATGCTCCCAGGGACGGCAGGTTCTTCAAAGGACTTGGGCTTTTGCCTTGGAGTCCTGAGAGGTTTGTGCAACCATGGCCTCCAATTATCTGCTGGAATTACTCCCTGGAGATTCTTTGTCAGTAACAACACTCAGTGGGGCTCATTAATGCTTCAAGGTACTGCAGTTCTTTTAAAGTAATTCCCTTTTTCCTTCCCACACTGAGTCTCTGAGAGGTTTGTGCCATCCTGGCCTCCAATTCTCTCCTCCAACAAGTCCATGAGGGGTCTGTGTGGATGGACCTCAGGGGACCCATTCATGCTTTGAGACACTTTGGGTTTTTCCTCGGATTTTGACTCCTGGTTAGGTTGGCGCAATCTCCTCTCAGGCCCTGAGCTTCCAGGGCTCAGCTCTAAATGCACCACGGGGCTCATTGGGATCAAGCAAGTCCTGACAAACCATGGCTCTGCCCTGATTTCCCTCTGCTCTAGTGCAGTCCATTAGGAAGGTTTCCTACAATACTGATGGAAAACTATTTGCAAGAGCTTCCAATAAATCCACATTCCTCTTTGAAGAGTATATTTTATGACTGTTCTATTTAGAGCAGAGGTGAGTGCAGCATTCAGCGACTGATATTGGCCCAGGGACTCTCCTGAGGATGTCTGGCCTAGTCAGAGAAGCTGTGCCTGGAGGTCTGAGGCAGTGTGGACAACCTTGCCCCACATAGCCCAAGCCCGTCCTGTCTCTGCTCAGTCACCTGGGACCTGCTGTGCTTGGAGAACTGGCTGCGCTCAGGCAAAGAGGGGTTTTCTTCTTTTATTTTTTGAAGCAATCTAAAACTCCTAAGCTTCCCCATTTAAAACAGACACACTCCTCAAGTGTGTGCCAAGCCCTAGGTACCTCCAATGAGGTTCCCCTTCCCCAAGGCAGAGCCCTGCAAGGAATGATGTAGACACACAGGAAGATCTGCAATGAACACAAATGCAGAGTTGGCTCAGGGCATAATTAGAGCAACTCCTGAAGGACAGACCAGCTTTGCACTCCTTGCAGCTCAAAGCTCCCAGTGGGTCGTTGGGAGGTGTGTGAGTGACTCAAGAGTGAAGGAAGGGAAATGCAGAGAGCCCTGGAAGTGCTTCTGTGCAGACAGGCTGTGGGGAAGGGCACCGCACACCTGCCCTGGGCCGGCTGTGAGGGTGGATCATCATCCCAACCTGCACTGGGCATTGCAAGGGACTGCTGCCATGGACACCGCACTGACCCCAGTGCGCCAGCCCATTGCTCAGGGCTGGTGTCACTGCCCAGAGCCAGAGGGGAGCCCTTGCTGTGGGTCTGTGCCGTGGCCGCCTGCCCTGTGCCGCGCGGGCCGGTCAGGCGCCGCGGAACCTGCAGCAAACAGCAGGGCCAGGGCCAAGGCCAGGTCAGGCAGACAGAAAGGGGCAGTGCTGGGCACTGTTTGCATGGCAGCCCTCACTGGGACACCACACCTGGGTCACCTGGCCTGGCAGGTGCCATGGAAACCCCTGGCAGGGACTGATGGCACAGACCCTGGCACTGAGACGCTGCTGCTGGGCCGGGTGCTGAGCACAGGGCTGGGCACACAGAGATGCTTTTGTTCTTGCTGAGCTCCCACTGAGCCAAAGCCTGGCCTGCCCCTCCTCTGGCCACGCTGGAGAGGGGCTGGGGCTGCGGGGGAGCTTGGGAGGGGACACAGCCAGGACAGGTGACCCCCACTGACCCTGGGGATACCCCAGACCATAGGGCATCATGCTCAGGGTATAAAGTGGGGGGAACAAGGAGGAAGGGGGGACATTTGGAGTGATGGCTTTTCTCTTCCTAGGTAACACTTAGGCTGGAGGGGGCCCTGTTTCACCAGTGGGCAGGGTCAGCACCAAAGACAGACACCAACTGAAGGAATTGTGTCATTTATATCATGCACAGCTGCAAAGAATTACAAAAGGATAAGCTCAGCAAAGCACATCATCATTAGCAAAGCATTACAAAAGAAGCTCAGCAATGCATCCAGTCATTGCTACCAGAGATTGCCTGGAGTGATTAAGGAAAGATCCATCACCAGTTAGCCTCAGGCTTTACCATCATCCACAGCCACACATCAGCTGGGGGAAGCCAAGGACTGGAGAGCCACTCCCAGACACTGGGAATTCCTGCAGGTGCCTCCACCTCTGCAAGCAATGAGGCTCCAAGCCCAAAGCTGTGAGAGGACCCAGCTTTTACACTGTTAAACAAACAAGCTGGCATCACTGCCACTGCGAGAACATCTGCTTTCATTCTCCTGACTGCTTTCTCCCAAAGCCTGGCCAGGGCTGAAGGAGGAACCAAGGGAGTTGACTTTCATCCTTCACCCCCAAACAAGGCCAGGTGGGGCCTTGTCTGTTTCTAAATACAGAAAGATAAATCCATGTTTTATCAAGGAACACATACATTGATCATGTTGTTAATCATGCTTCGTTAGTGAGTGGATACAAATACAACATTTGCTTGGGAGGTTCATCTAGAGGTGAGCTTTGCCTCAGGGCCTGTTCAGGCCTTGATCACAACCTGTTCAGGCCTTGGTACTTTGATCGGTCCTGAGACCTACAATCAACTACAACCTTTGTAATAATTCTTTCAGTAACACAGCTTAGATTTAGGTATTAGGCATAAAGGCATCTCCTCTTGTTCTACAATTAAGTGCAGTTTAAGTTCATTACTCAGAGCTATTCACGTTCCTTTTAAAACATGCCTTAATAGTTTCTATTCTCTGTTATTTATCAAATG